TTTTTTTTTTTTGCTTTTACAGAGTGTACATTCTTGCTGAAAGAAAGTCATGAAGTAGATAAAAAGACTAATCACAATAGTAATTATGTTCAAGAAAGCAGATGTTTCTAAATGTCAACACAATCCTGCAGTCCCAGCAGTTCTGAGACAGAGACAGGAGGTCACTCCAAAACTGAGGCTCTCCTGTCTACACAGGGAGTTGCAGGGTTACATAGCAAACTGTCTTTTCTAAAAGGAACAAGGAATGAGAACGGGTGGTGTGGATATTGGAGAATAGATAGTAGAGATTGAGGGGCAAGGGCATGGGTGAGGAAAGAAGGGGGAAAAGAAAAGGATAGGGGAACAGCAGGAGGAAGGGAGAGAGCAGAAAGTGAAGAACTAGGAGGAGAAATAAAGAAAAGAAATGAAAAGTTGGAATAAGATTCTGGATATAGTATTGGAGATCTTGTCTATGTTGGAGTGATACTGTAAGATCTCTAAAAAATGAATAAAGTTTGAAGGCACCAGTGTGCATGGGGTTTTCAGTTTCCCAGTTGCTCACCGTCACGAGTTTCTTAGACCATTCTTATGCCACTTGCTCAGAAAGAACTGTTTAAATAACTTAAGTGTCAGTAGAATCTTCCTTCTGACCTAAGCCTATCTTATTCTCAGTATTCAGTGTTAATAGATCTTTAACTTGTAAAACAGATTTATTAAATATTTGCCTTGCACTGCATTTCAATTTGGGGTTTGCACAATTCAATTATCCCAGTTTTTTCTGCTGTAAATTGTCTCCCGCCCTAACCCTTTATAAATGGTTCACACCCTCTACTGGCCATAAAACTCCTCCTTCCCCAGTTAGCCTGCACCAGGCTCTTTGGTTCAGGAAATTTTGTTCCTTTGTTGTTGTTTTGTTTGTTTGTTTGTTTGTTTTTGTTTGTTGTCCACCTGTGTATTTAATTCTACACATGCCAGATTTTCTTCTTGAAGCAGCCATGTAATAAATTTGCCCTTATCTTCCTAATCATAGTATGTCCCCAGCTTTGTCAGGTCTGGCATGATACTGTGTACATTTTCAATTTCCTTACCCAGTGGTGCACACAGTACACAATCAATACACATCCCAAATTAATAGCCGTAGCAATCCACAAGAGAGTCATAGTAATGTCATTTTAGCCAGGAGACAAATACCAGGTCCATTCTGAGAAAATCAGCATAAATTTCCTGTTTAAGTGGCCAATATCTCCTTTGAGTACACAGCATCAATTACATACTGGTAAAGTCTTTTCTGCTTGGAACTTATATATTTGCCCATATTATTTAATTTCATGCTTTAATGATTTAAAATATCACATTTATTTTTATGCTACTTTAAAAATAGCGACTGATACAGCATTTCAGAATTTAAAGAAGGTGCCTGGGTTGAATATACAATATATTATAATGACTTGCATTATGATGCATTAGTATTTCCAAATAGATATAAGTATGGCTTCATGATAATAGTGAATACTTTTAATATTATAGTACGAGATTTGTTATTTTTATTTGGATTTTATTTTTATTTTTATGTGTTTTTTTGTTGTTTGTTGTGTTTTTTTAATGAAAGAATTGCAAACTCAGGAGATTTCATGGCTCTAATTGGTAAAACTTAAAATAACTTTGTAGCATTTCCAAAATCTTCTGCCTTTATGCATAAGAATGCAATAATTTAAAAACTAGCTTAATAAATTCAATACCAAATTTCTAATGCACCATTCATATTAATGTACTTGTTTTGTTACATAATGTTAAAGAGGCATGCATTCATTTAAAACCCCTGTTTCTGGGGGGTTTGCCAGTCTGAACACCAAGCTGTCACACAGAGAAAATGAGTTTCTCTCCAACAGGTGTTCTAATGATGATACCACCATACATTGTCTTTATTCGTAGTCTGCAAAGTGGCTGAATTCAAAGCCATGGATTTAGAATAGTCCAATAAAAAGTGGGAAAAGAAGATGGGGATAACGTGTGCATCTCTCCGAGAGCTTAGTAATTATATATAAAATTTTCAAATATGATAATTAGTCTTTTAGTTTTGGGGGACAGTCTAGAAAACTAAAGTAGAGCTTTCAATTACCTCTCTTATAACTGAGGCACCTCTGACCTGTTGAGCTGCCTGCAGGCTGTGCAGTGCTCCAGGTTCCCAGCTTTTGTGGGCTGTCACCCTTGCTGGGGTGACTTTGGTGATGCAGCTGTCTTTGAATCATTTCTGTTTGTGTACGTAACCCCTCAGGCATATTCCTGTTAGTATCACCAATAAGACACATTGGTTCACCAAAACAAACAAACAAAAAACAGTAGAATGAATTGCAAATCTGATTATACCAGGGCATGTATAGTTCAAAATCCCTCTGCTGTCAATTTGGACATTTTATAGAAGACAGATTTCCAGGTAATAAAACTTTTCCCATCATGAAAATGTTTAATATGAGTGGTTTTTCTTCTTATTTTATTCACATGCAACTTGGACAGAACAACTGTTATTTTGATGCATAATTTTATTGAGTTAAATGCATATAAAATATTTCAGTGTGATGCTTCACACATGAAATTTCTCACTAACTTTTTAATTTCCAATGATTAAAATAACTAAATGACATCTTTCCAGAAAAGAAAATAGGGGCAGAGGCAGAATATCGGGATTTTGTTTGTATCAGCATGGCTGGATGGAGGGAAGTATTTTGTGGTTTGGGTGTTATGTTTGAATCAAGGTCTCTAGCATGACCCAAACTTACCATATAACAAATGATAACTACTTCCAACCTCCTGTTTCAGCCTGCACCTCCCTAGTACCCAGACTGCTTGTGAGTCCTTCCATTCCTGTTAATTCAATGTCAGAGATCTGACCCAGTGCCTATGTATGCCAAGCAAGCACTCTGCCATCTAAACAACACCCTCAGCACTTCGGTGCTTATTGGGGCTCAACGTAAAAACACTTCAAAAATTGCCTGTAAAATATAGAAAATTTCTGTCTGTATTTTTGTCATTATTGATGTTTTTAAGGCTAGCCTTTAGCCAGGACACTGCTGGCTTCAGGCCAAGGAGTTCAGAGATCACAAGCCTGAACCACCGTGGCCAGCTTCATCTTATTCTTAAAGATGTACTTTCTTATTATTCCCCTTGTTATTGTGGACATTCTTTCTGCTAAAGCAACTGTAACAGGGAGGATACAAGAAGCTGAAAAGACACCCTTCTGATGTTATTTTTGTAGTATAATTTTGATATAGAAACTGAATTCCCCAAGGTCCCCCAAAATGAATTCTGGTTACTAAAATCAAGTATGTTTGTGAAACAAATTAATAAGATTTAAAAAATTAAAATTATTTAAAGGGGATAAATTTACCATTCTATTAATATAAAGCAGTATTATAACACAGCAGAGGATCATCTATTAATAATGAATTCATACCTATACATACTTACAAATACATATTAAAACTGATATATATAGTTCTTTGCAGCAAGACATTTTAGTCAGACAAGGGCAAGTGCATATAGAAACTAATGTTATTTATTATAAGTTACAAAATAAAATGATAAATATGTATTTCATTCAAGAAGAAAAGAGGCAACATGAATGATATTATATGAAAAAATATAGTAGTCTTGGTAAACTTTGGAGATTTAAAAATCTATGAATCTATGAGAGACAATGAGCTTAAGAAGTGAACAACTAACAAGAAAGTATAAAAGCCAACATGGAACATTTAGAAAAATATACTGGAAGAAAAGCTATTACACATTATACAAAGATAGATAGATAGATAGATAGATAGATAGATAGATAGATAGATCACCAAGCATACACATGGACACACACACAAACACACTCACACTACTAAAATCAGGAAAAGTCATATGAAATCCCAGTGAGATTCAAAGGAATACTGCTTCAGAAATTATTGCTATGTGTAAACAGTCCTTCTTTGTTTGCTCCTGAATGCAGGTTATAGGCAAGAGACATGAAAGAAAATTAAAAAAAAAAAAAAACACCTTAGTCTTTGTAGTTTTAATGTTATTGTCATTTTTCACTTTTTGGTGGTGGACAAGTGAATAAAAATATTGGAGAGTGAAAACGGAAAAGCCAATGTGAAAACTCCAGTTTCATGATGGCTATTCTAACTCTAGGTATAGACTTTGGTGTTGGTTAATTCTGTTGTGTGATGTTTTTATTTGCAAATTCATTATAATGAAGCTTTAATAAATAAGAGAATGTGTAACCACAGAGTGTTATAAGAAAGAACTAATGAATTCAATGTATCAAAAACACAACCCATGAATTATTTTGCTAAATAGTCCATATTACAAGATTGACACCAGTTTAGTCTTTAGAAGAATATGTTAAATGACAAATGCCAATTTCATATATTAAATATTAGCTTTACTGGCTTTCAATCTCAGCTGAATAACATGAAAATCATCAAATGTACCTAAGCAACTGTGCAAAGGAAGGAAGAGACAAAAATATTTCTACTACTGTCCTGACTTTTTATGAATATGTATGTTTGTGGTACACATTTAAGTATGGTAATTGTTTGCAAGTAGGTACAAACATGTATGCGGAGGCCTATGTGTGTGCATGTGGAGAGACTAGAGGTAAGTTCTGCCAGAAAACTTGCATCAGTGTGTAAGGTAGAGAAGCAACATGTGATGGTAACGCCCAGCGCCCATGTGCACACACTTGTTTATGTGCCTCTGTGGACACACTTTCACACATATATAAACTTTGAAATAAACTTTGAAATAAATGAAGTATTTATCTTTATGAGAGAAAATGAAGTATTTATCTCTCTGGGTGTTACTCAGTTTGCTTAATAGTTTTAAATTCAATCATTTTCCTGTATATGTCATGTTTTCAATTTTTCTTCAAGGTTATGTAAATTGTACATTTTCGTTTCCTATAACCAATTGATTGGTGTCTGTTCTAGAATATGAAACAGATTTTTTTCAGATGAAAACCTTATTTTTTTTCTTTGTAGGGAAAGGTGAACATGGAAAACCATACCCCCTTACTGAAGAGGACCACGATGACTCAGCTTACAGGGAAAATGGCTTCAACATTTTTGTCAGCAACAATATTGCTTTAGAGAGGTCTCTACCAGACATCAGACACGCTAAGTAAGTGTGAATATGGCACGTGTATTTGTTTCTTTGGTTATTTTTTGTTACTATTATTTTTTACCTTTATTGCTTCTTTGTGGATTTCACATCACGAATTCCAATCCCACCCATCCCCCTGTCCCTAGTCACCCTCTCTTGCAACCCCTTGCCCCAAAAGAAAACCAAATTTAAGAGAAAAACCCCAAACCAAATTAACAAAGAAACAAAACAAAAACAGAAGAATCTTGCTGTAGAAGCTGTATTGTGGCCCATTGAGTCACACAGCTTACCCTTTAGTCCATTCATCTTAACTTGCAAGTGTTCATTGTCCTGAGTCATTGTTCTGGCTCAAGGGCTCTGGCTCATGCTACGACACTAATACTGGGTTCTCACTGGTCCCCTTTTGGATAACCTGTTGTTGTTCTGTGTCATGGAGGTCCTATTGTTTTGGATCTATATCGGTTTATACCCTTCACATGCTTCAACTGTTCATAGATCCTGGTGGATGTTCTAGTGGGCCTATTCAGAGCCCTGTTTCTGGGCCTGGGTGGCAGCTGCTCTAGTCAGCTAAGGTGGGAAATTAGCAATATGGAGTCAGGTAACAATACAAGGGATTTTAATAGGGAAAAGCCTTACTTACAGAGCAACCTAGCAAGCCAGCAAGGCAGCAGTCCCTAGGGCAAGCCAAAGATGAAACTGAAAGCAAAACCCATCACCTGAATGGCCCTCACTACATCACCCTGACCACACCCTCGCAGGCGTCTTCAGACACACCTGTAGCCAGCCCCAAAGCAGGTGTGGCTACAGCATGCCCTACAGTCAGCTCCTTTGTTTTTCCCTCACCATCACTGTCTCAGTGAACTATCTAGCACTGTGTTGGCTAGTTCATGTAATGCAACCTGGAGCAAGGATCAGGGCTGGTTCTCAGATTCCAAGCCCATCCTGCATTCACATCACCAGCCACAGGGCCAGCTCTACAGCTCTGCCCAATGTAGGGCTCTCTCTGCCTTTTGCTGAATGAGGTACATGAGGGGGGCAGCATCAGCAATCCTGCTTTCATGTTCTCAGGGCTGGTGTACCTGCAACCTGTGACAATGGGGTCAGCTCTAGTGTGCTGTCCAGAGGGGAAGCAGAGGGCAGAGGCTACTTTCTCATGTGCTGCAGCTGGTGAGGGTCAGGGCTAGCTCTCCTACTCTTGTGACCCCAGGGCCAGCTCTCTCACCTGGTGTTTCTTTATTTACTTTTTTTTTTTTTTTCGTTTTTCAAAACAGGGTTTCTCTGTGTAGCTTTCAAGCCTATCCTGGCACTAGGTCTGGAGACCAGGCTGGTCTCGAACTCACAGAGATCCACCTGCCTCTGCCTCCTGAGTGCTAGGCATGAGCCACTAACACCCGGCAATGCTATGTGTTTAATTTAAAATTAAATAAGATTTGAAATTCTAAAAGAATGCCAACCTTACTTATTTCTGTAATTTTTTTAAAAATGGCCAAAAAAAAAAAAAAAAAAAAAAAAAAAAAAAAAAAAAAAAAACAAAAAAACAAGTAAGGAGGAAGGCTTTATTTTGGCTGACTTGTGAGGGGATGAAGACTACCACAGCATAAAGGGAACCACAGTGCAACAACCTGCAGCTGTAGGTAAGTCATCAATACCCTCTTCAGTAAGGGACACACACACACACACACACACACACACACACACCTGAGCAGAAAGAACACACCCACATCTTAATGACCTCCCAAGTAGAGGTGGGGCAGGAAATTGAAGCAGGATATAAAGCTCAAGGCCCACCTCCAGTGACCTTTGAAAACCCTACCTCCTCAAGCATCTACAACCTCCCAAAGCAGCACCATCAAGGAGACCAAATGTTCAAATGCAGGAGATTGTGACCAGCATCTTGAGTCTATCATGAACTCTGAAAAATTAATGCATTTTCATTGTCTATATTATCTTCCTTTAAAACAAAATGTTTTAAGAAGTCAATATCTTATCTTAATATTGTGAATTAGAGATAAATATTTTCTCCTGGTTGACGTGTTGTGAGGACTGTATTTGGACATGCACCTTCAATGGGCTGCTTTCTTAAGCTAGCATTAGTTTGGATCCTTGACCTGGTTTCCCATCGGAAAGATGGGAAAGATTAGAAAGAGTGATTATGTGGGGTGGAAGCTCTTTTTTCAACTCCCTGTTACATTATGAACTGCTTGTGGTTTGACAATTGGCAGAGTTATAAATTAATACACAAATGATGCTGCATGCAGTCCTCTGGAATCCAAATTTCTATAATGACCTAATGACCTCAAGCTTGTATTTAAATTGTTAATTCTGAGGGGGGTGGAATCTTTTGTGGTTTTTGATAGTTTAAACAAAGCCAAAAAAAAAAAAACTGTGACAACAGGGGATGTGAACATTATTTTCAACTCCTTACCACCCACTCAACTCCACTAGAGCCTCCCATCTCCTTCTCCATTAAGAAACAATTTGGAGAGACAGAGACATAGACAGAGACAGAAGAGACAGAGAGAGAAGTGGGGAAGGAGTGAAGGAGAGTGGAGAAAGGAAGAGAAATAGAAACTAAGAAAAATACATTAGAGCTATAAATTAAATGAGAATTGTAAATAAATAAAACTCAGTTATTTAATGATAATTGAACCTTAAGAGGAAAAATATCATATGCTTTAGGGGGCTATTATTTTATTTCTATCACTACTTCATTAATTTATTTGGAAAATTTAAAACTTACTGGGTTTCTCATAAAAATCTGTGTTAAATTACATTTTAATGCCATCAAGTAGAGGATTAATATGAGGAGAAAATAAAATTTTTCCTAGACTGAAAGCTCTACATATTGTCCTCGGCCTTTAATCCAGATACATTATTCCCGGGTAACTTAAAATTATCTGTAGCAGGTCCCACTGACCAAAGCATTTCTTGTTATGAGGAATTCTAATGTCTAATTGTTTCCATTGAAGATGATTAAGCTGCATTGTTGGCATAATAAATATGCTCAGACAATAATTTCCTTTTACCGCCTATCTCCCCCAGCATTTCCAACCTATTAAGGTGCATTCGAGTGGAAAGTGTTACAGTTGGGAAAGAGCAGAGAGCTGCTGAGCAAACTTGATTGACTGTTCTCTTTAGAGCATATTTTTAGTGTAACCACAAACTTAAACAAAAGATATCCTTACACAAACCTGAAATGCAAAAAACAAACTAATTTGAGTTTTTATTATACCCACTGAGCTTAGATTATCAAGTAAATATTATTCTAATTGTTAAGGAAGCAATTGTAGCCCCTCTTACACATTCTTACTTCATTAATGCAGCTGCATTCTGAAAAAGACCAAATGCTTCGGAGCAAAATGATACCATGCAAAAAGATGAAAGCAAACACTAGTGGAGATTGTATAGCAGGAAGGCATTTAACAATTGCCATGATGATGCCTTAACCTGACTTAAGTCCATAGCTGATTCTCAAAAGTGCAATAAGAGATCACCGATGCTCCCCTGACTTTGTCAGAATCTCATCTGCAGAAAAAAATATGAACTAAAGTCTTGTAGAACTCACATTGCTTGAAGTTCTATGCTTCCGGGTTCTCTGTGCATCTCAAATGAATGTGGATTTGACAGCAACACCACAAGGCTCTGTGTAGAAGGTCCTAGAAATTACAGAGTTCAGTCAGCACAGATTTCAGGATTATTAGTTTAACTGTTCTGCAACTAACTGCCCATAGTTTGTGTATGTTGACTCAGTCTGTAAAACAGGGTGCAAGATTTGGATGACTAAAACATGACAGTTCAAATATCCTTTGTGCAGTCTCAGAGTAGCATTAGGAAAGTTTATATTAATGAGTGTTTTAATGTTGTGAAAATATTGTCTTGCAGTTCTTTATAGCTTATTCTTCATAGCAGTTCATAAGCTCCCACTGTGTGGCTTCTGGCATACACTGCTGATCTATGCACCTATTCACATACTCACCTTTAGATATCTTGTGTTCTGGGTGGTTTGCTATATTTAGTGAACAACTTTATTTACAATAATTCATTACTGGTTACTTTAGAAATCTCAGTCTACAAGCCTTCATTTTTTATATTTCTTATTTCATCATTTCTCAATAATATCAAAGCTAACACCCAGCTTTGATAGTTTATATCATGGACAATGACAGGTATGTCATAGACAATAACAGAACCATGGCCTTGGAACCATGAATAAAGTCAGATGATAATGGGCAATAATTTTATGAGTTTTACTTGTATCCAAATAATAAAGTTATTTCAAGATTTCTTTTCCAATTAGATTTTTAACTCAGTTTTTCCAAATTTTAAAAATTATCTCTGTGTTTTGTAGACAGTTATATTATCTGTGCTTTGATATTGTCTAAGCATTCTCTAATTTTCTACATTATTATTCTATATGTGTTCAGGCTATAATCTGTACATTTTAAGCTCTTTGCAATGTCTGTATGCTCAGTGTCTAGAATCTGTCTTTAAGCCTTCTGTTTATATTTTATATCATTTCCTACCCTGCTGGTAAGATTTGAGGACATCTGTGTGACAGATGTCCAGTCAGTAGTAACCTTAATGACTTGGCTTCATAATAACACATTTTAATTTTCCCCAACAAGTATATTAATTGTGTTACTTTCATATTTAGACACCTACATGGGATGTCACATATATGTTTTGTATTATGTAGAACATCTTATTTTATTTTCAATTAAGAATGCAAAATGACAGACTGCACCTCATCCCCTGGGATCCACACTAGGGCCCAAATCCTTTAATGTGCACCTGAGGAAATAGTTGACCTAGGAAGCCCAGGGAAGACACTGCCCACCACCCACCAAACCCCTTTAAGCCTGTTCTACAACCCCAGATGGCACCTCCACACCTGGACCCCATATCCTGGTCTACTACTTTGATAGAAGTCTTCTGTACAACCAGAGGCCAGGCAGGATCTACAGCCAGATAACAATCCTTAAAGCCTGCCCAATAATCCCAGACCACACTCCTCCCCT